AAGGAACAAAACCCATCTATTTGCTGCTTACAAGAAACACATCTTTCCAACAAAGATCCATACAGACTGAAAGTGAAAGGCTGGAAAAAGATATACCATGCCAACAGAAATGAAAAAAGAGCGGGCGTAGCCATCTTAATATCAGACAACATAAACTTTACCACAAAAACCGTTAAGAGAGACAAAGAGGGACACTACATAATGATTAAGGGATCAATTCAACAGGAAGATATAACAATTATCAATGTATATGCACCTAACTACAGGGCACTGGTTTATCTAAAAGATTTGTTAACAGACTTAAAGGGAGACTTAGACCCCAATACAATAGTACTGGGGGACTTCAATACTCCACTTTCAGAAATAGACAGATCAATAGGACAGAAGATCAACAAGGATACAGTAGATTTAAACGACACTATAGCCCAAATGGATCTAACAGATATATACAGAACTTTCAATCCTACAGCTAAAGATTTTACATTCTTCTCAGCAGTACATGGAACCTTCTCTAGGATTGACCACATACTAGGCCATAAAGCAAGTCTCAGCAAATTCAAAAGAATTAGAATCATACCATGCAGCTTCTCAGACCATAAAGGAATGAAGTTGGAAATTAGCAACTCAGGAATCCCTAGAGCATACACAAACACATGGAGATTGAACAACATGCTCCTGAATGAACAATGGGTCATAGAAGAAATCAAAAGAGAAATCAAAAACTTTCTGGAAGTAAATGAGGATAACAGCACAACATACCAAAACTTACGGGACGCAGCAAAAGCAGTGTTAAGAGGAAAGTTTATATCAATAGGTGCCTACATCAAGAAATTGGAAAGGCACCAAATAGATGAGCTTTCAATTCACCTCAAGGATCTAGAAAACCTACAGCAAACCAGACCCAAATCTAGTAGGAGAAGAGAAATAATTAAAATCAGAGAAGAAATCAACAGGATTGAATCAAGAAAAACATTCCAAAAAATCAGCCAAACGAGGAGCTGGTTTTTTGAAAAAATCAACCAAATTGACACCCCATTGGCCCATCTCACTTCTTCCTTTTTTTAAAAGATTTATTTATTTATTTGAAAGGCAGAATTATGGAGGGAGGGAGAGAGGGATTGAGAGAGAGAGAGAGAAGGAGGAGAGAGACAGAGAGAGACTGATTTTCCATCTATTGGTTCACTTCCCAAATAGCTGCAATGGCAGCTGAAGCCAGGAGCTTGCTCTGGGTCTCCCTTGTGCGTGCAGGGGCCCAAGCACTTTTTCAGGTGCATAAGCAGGGAGCTGGATCAGAAGTGGAGCAGCCAGGACACAAACTGGGGCCCAGACGAGATGCTGGAGTCGCAGGCAGCAGCTTTACCTGCTGTGCCACAATGCTGGCCCCCCGATTGTGCTCGTAACAACAGGACTAGGCCCTTTCTTGCACGGTGCAAAGAGCACTCAACTCTGACAAAGCACTTAACCTCTTTCAGTCAACCGCACAAAAGAAATGTAACTTACAGGTTGGTTGAGAATGCAAAATGAGTTCATCTATGTATAACTGTTACATAGAAGAAAGGAGTTGTTATGAACTAAGACTAGGCAAGTTTTAAAACACAAGTGGGATTGCTCATAGGAACGACCATTTGCTATTTCCTGTTCTATGCCTCCTTTCCTACTTATTTACCACCACACGCCCTGAGTCCCACTGTGGGAGGATGGCAGAGATTGACTTAGCCTATCTTGGAAATATTTTCTTTTGGATACACATGGTTCTAACCCATTTTTTTTTTTGACAGGCAGAGTTAGACAGTGAGGGAGAGAGAGAGAGACAGAGAGAAAGGTCTTCCTTTTCCGTTGGTTCACCCCCTAAATGGCCGCCACGGTGCCTCCTCCTGGTCTCCCATGTGGGTGCAGGGCCCAAGCACTTGGGCCATCCTCCACTGCCTTCCCCGGGCCACAGCAGAGATCTGGACTGGAAGAGGAGCAACCGGGACAGAATCCGGTGCCCCAACCGGGACTAGAACCTGGGGTGCCGGCACCGCAGGTGGAGGATTAGCCAAGTGAGCCATGGCGCCAGCCTAACCCACTCTTTATAATCACTGCAGAGTGTTCCAAACTGTGGCTCTGTCTTTAAAAAAAATGCACTCCTTTGTTGATGGACAACGAAGTTGGTTTGTATTCCGTATTATAAACAATGCCATCACGAGCATCCTTGTAACACTGCTTGTGGACAGGTGCTTCTCCAGAGAGGATGCTGAGAAGGGGAACTGTTGAGACAAAGGGTGTGTGTGTGTGTGTGTGTGTGTGTGTATACAATTCAAAAGTTTATGGAAAATGCAAGTAAAAGATAATTTTACTTTGGTACAAAAAATCTTAAAAGTCATTCATAGTCTTTTCATGATATACATTTTCCATAAATTTTTACAAATATTTAATTGTATTTGAGAAGCAGAGAGAGAGAGAGAGAAGTAGGGGGGAGAGAGAGAAAGGAGAGAGGGATCTCCCATTTACTGGTTTGCTCCCCAAAAGCCTGCAATAGCCAGGGCCGGGCCAGGCTGAAGTCACGGGAATGGGGAGCTCCATCCAGGTCTCTCATTTGGGTGGCAGGGACCTAGTTACTTGAGCCATCACCGGCTGCCTCCCAGGGTGTGCATTAGCAGGAAGCCAGAATGGGGAGCAGATCCAAGACTCAATCGAGGGGGGCCCAGTATTGTGGTGCAGCAGGTTAAGCCTCCACTTGTGATGCCGGCATCCCATAGGGGTGCAGGTTTGGCATCGGCCAGGCCCAGCCCCAGAAGTTGGAAGATTTCTCTCTCTCTGTCTCCCCCATCCTGCCCTGTAACTCTGCCTTTCAAAATAAATAATAAAATAAATCTTGTATAAACAAAAAGACTCAAATTCTGGTCCTCCAACAGGGGATGCAGGTGTCCCAAGTGGTGTCCTAACCCCTATGCCTAATGCCTGCCCACTAAGAACTGCTTGATGTATCCTCTTACTTATATAAAGATACTTGTAAACCATCTTCTGAAATAGTACCTTCCAGTATCTAATGTGAACCACACAAACAATTTAAATTTTGTCACATTTAAAAAAGAAAAATAGTTGAAGTTAATTTGATTAATATTTTTACTTAACCAAATACAACCCAAATATCATCACATCAACATGTGATCAATATAAAATAATTTATCAGATATTTTATTTTCTTCTTTTAAAGAATAAGTCTTCGGCCGGTGCCGTGGCTCAATAGGCTAATCCTCTGCCTGTGGCGCCGAAACACCCGGTTCTAGTCCCGGTCGGGGCACCGGATTCTGTCCCGGTTGCCCCTCTTCCAGGCCAGCTCTCTGCTGTGGCCAGGGAGTGCAGTGGAGGATGGCCCAAGTGCTTGGGCCCTGCACCCCACGGGAGACCAGGAGGAGGCACCTGGTTCCCGCCTTCGGATCAGTGCAGTGCGCCAGCTGCAGCGTGCTGGCCACAGGGGCCATTGGAGGGTGAACCAACGGTAAAGGAAGACCTTTCTCTCTGTCTCTCTCACTGTCCACTCTGCCTGTCAAAAAAAAAAATAAGTCTTCAATATCTGGTCTGAATCATGCACTCAAGATATACTTTGATTCAGGCACAAGATTTCATCTGAAATACTTGACCTATGTTTAGATTTGATAAAATTTTCAGTTGAAAAAGTAAATGTAGGTATTCAAATGGCTCCAAACACATATAAAAGTTTTTTAACAATTTTTTTGCCCACACAATCCTAAAATGTTTTATTTCAAGTTTTGTTTGATGAATCAATACCCTATTCCATCATTTTGTAAAGTTGAACTTGATAGAATGGCTTTATTCTTTAATTCTTACAGCAAATGTTTCCTGGAAAACCTTCCCTCTCCCTCCACTCTTTCTAAAATTTATATAAAGGGAAGCATAAGTTTTTTAAATTAAGGTTTAATAAATAAAAAATGCATTCCTCAGTTGCTTGGTCACATTTTAAGAGCTCATTGGCCACATGGGGCCGGTGGCTACTGTTTGGAAAGCACAGTCTAAAACCAGCAGTGCTCAGAATACCTGTTTTCCCTCATCTTCACCTGCACTTCTTATTATACAAGCCTCCTTGTATGTTTCTGCTGGGCATTAGCACTGTAATTAACTAACTAGTTTTATAACTGACATTAAGGGCAGGGGACATATAGGTGTCCCCTACGCCTAGAACAAAGCCCCGTATGTAGTAGGTGCTCAACACATGCTGGTTGGACAGGTGATTTTACACAGACCAGGGCGTTCTCCAGGAGCCTTCCCCAGCTCACATCTTTCTCCCCTGACCAAAAAACCAACAAAATCATAATAATAATAAAACCAAAACATTTTTTGGTTTTGTGGAATGCTACCATTGACAGCAGAGACTTTTTATTGCAAAGGGGTGAAATTATCACCAGTCTGAAATCATCACTGGGGCAAATCGTGAATCAGTCGCAAAGAACTCCTTAAAGCTCGGCTCTCCCCTAACCTTCAAGGTGGGCTCGAAACGGACAAGACCTGTTCTTACACCGCCTTTGGGGTTCTTCTTAGGGACTCCAGCAGAGGCTGCCCCCTGCTGTCTCATCATCCAGTTCCCCTTCTTTCTTAAACATTTCTGAACTTACTGGGGGAGGACAAAGTTGTCTGATGAGAAACTAATTTCCCAGTTTCCCTTGTTAATAAATGTGGCCATGTGACTAAGCTCTGCTCATTATTATTTGAAAAAGTCTTAATAGGGTAGAACTTCAGAAAAATAAAATCAGTAAAGTAGACTGACTCAGCTGAACGAGCCCCTTTACTCTTGCCTCTTCCTCCCTCAGCTGCCTGAAACATGGATTTGATGGCTGGAGCTGCAGTGGCCATTTTGGGCCATGATGCAAACTTGAAAATAAAAGCCAGAGCTGAGAACAGTGTCACAGAAAAAAGATACGGAGGCTTGATTCCAATGAAGCCATGGGGCTTCCTCCACTGTTTCTTCTATGTGAGAAAAATGTTCTTCTCTTACTTACTTTGAAAAATTATAGTCCACATAATCAACCTTTAGAAAGTCAAGAGACTCAGAACCTTGTAAGTCTGGGATGTTCCTTTCTTTTAACATTTGCCCAATCATCTCCATCCCAGCTTGGACACCTGTGAGAGAAACAAGACAGTATCAGCACATAGCGATGTTATATCATTAGCCACACCACTGCAATTTATTAACTCAATGCTTTTAGAAATGAAAACAGCAATCTGATGAATTAGGCGCTATTATCCCTACCTTACAGATGCAATGTTGGTACTCAGAGAGGCTTAGGAACTTGCCCAAAACCATAGAGCTAAGATCATGAGGAATTTTCACTTTGTGGCCAGCAGGGCTGCAGAGTTTTATTATCACAGGACAGTGTGACAGCAAAAGTGCAAAAAATATTCCCCGAACTACGAATACTACCGTTCCCATTGTGCCTATGTCACAGGTGGGAAATGGGCCCCTGAGAGGTTCACTCTTGCCCAGATCATACAGAGAAGTGGGGGAGCCGGCAGTCAGGTTGAACAACTGTACTGCAGAATCTGAGGGTTATGAGCAGTTACAGAGTTAGTCCACATTTCCCTTCCCTTCCAGACCCTTTAGACTAAGCATTTCTGGACCAAGGTTCACAGCTCATTGAAGACCCTGGGAAAAGTCATTTGCATGATGAGTGAGGACTCATCTCTTAACTTCAACCTTCTCAAGGGGGAAATTCTACCTTTATGCCTTCCTTTGTAGTTTAAGTTCATTCCAAGGTATTTTATCCTTTAGGAAATTAAGCGCAGTTTTTTTTTAGATGTATTTATATGAAAGGCAGAATTACAGAGAGGCCAAGGTGGTGGTGGTGGGGGGGAGAAAATGAATAACTTCCATCCATTGGTTTACTCCCCAAATGGCCCAATGGCTGGAGATGGGCTGATCTGAAGCCAGGAGCCAGGAGCTTCTTCTGGGTCTCCCATTTAGGTATAGGGGCCTAAGGACTTGGGCCATCTTCTGCTGCTTTCCCAGTCTCATTAGCAGGGAGCTGGGTCGGAAGTGGGGCAGGGGGCTGGTGCTGTGGTCCAGCGGGTTAACTCCCTGGCCTGAAGCGCCAGCATCACATGTGGGCGCCGGTTCGAGATCCGGCTGCTCCACATCCAATCCAGCTCTCTGCTATGGCCTGGGAAAGCAGTGGAAGATGGCCCAAGTCCTTGGGCCCCTGCACCCACGTGGGAGACCGGGAAGAAGCTCCTGGCTTCTGGCTTCGGATTGGCGCAGCTCTGGCTGTTGCAGCCATTTGGGGAGTGAACCAGCGGGTGGAAGACCTCTCTCTCTCTTTCCGTCTCTCCTCTCTCTGTGTAACTCTGACTTTTAAATAAATAAATAAATCTTTAAAAAAAAAAAAAGTGGGGCAGCCAGGACTTGAACCGGCATCCATATTGGATGCTGGCACTGCAGGTGGCGGCTTTACCTGCTACTCTACAGCGCCGACCCCCAGAAGAGCAGTTTTTATCTTCTAAAATGCCACAAATAATATTGTAGGTTGGACTGAAAAGATAGGCTATAGGGGCCGGTGCTGTGGCATAGTAGGCTAAGCTTCCACCTATCGCACTGGCATCCCATATGGGTGCCGGTTTGAGACTTGGCTGCTTCTCTTCTGGTCCAGCTCTCTGTTGAAGGCCTGGGAAAGCAGTAGAAGAAGGCCCAACTACTTGGACCTCTGCACCCACATGGGAGACCCAAAAAAAGCTCCTGGCTCCTGGCTTCGGATTGGCCCAGCTCTAGCCATTGTGGCCATCTGGGGAGTGAACCAGCTAATGGAAGACCCTTCTCTGTTCCTCCCTCTCTCTGTCTGTAAATTTACCTCTCAAATAAACAAATCAATCTTAAAACAAAAGATAGGCTATAAAGGATGTAAAAACAGAACCAAAGGCACCACTAGAGAGCTTAGGGCTGAGTCCCAGCATGGTCGTCTGCCAGCTCGTGTGGCCCTGCAAGTTACGTAATCTCTCTGCCGCCCATTTGCCTCATCTGTGACAAAGCATTACAGCAACAATGGAGGGGTCTGTTCACAAGCGGGAAAGTGACAGCAGCCAGTGTTTGCCGGGTGCTTGCTATTGCCAGACCCAACCCCAAGTGCTTTGCATCAGTCAGTACATTTATTTCCCATAACCATCCCATCCGTAGCACTATCATAATCACCTCCAATTTAATATCTAAATTTCAGGAACCACTAATAATAGGTGTAGCAAATCCTTTTCTGGAAAAAATGCAGGGACATAAATAATTAAAGAGACAAAAATAGCTCTAGCCAATTGGTATTAGCGCCCGTGTGCGTCAGAACTGTCCACGCTCCCTCCCTGGATGCTCACGACAACCCAGTCACATAGCTGCTATGATCCCTATTTGCACTGCAGGCAGTGGAGGCTCAGAGAGGTTCAGCAACTTTCATGAGAACACACAGCTAGTGTCGCTGTCCAGGGCTTGGAGGAATGGGAAGCAGAGGACAGCACATGGGTTCAAGAGCTCATGTTTTCCTGCAGCCCCTTACTGGTGTGTGCTGGGGGAGTTTCAACACCCCCCGCCCCGTAAAAGGACAACAACCTCGGCCGGCGCCGCGGCTCACTAGGCTAATCCTCCGCCTAGCGGCGCCGGCACACCGGGTTCTAGTCCCGGTTGGGGCGCCGGATTCTGTCCCGGTTGCCCCTCTTCCAGGCCAGCCCTCTGCTGTGGCCAGGGAGTGCAGTGGAGGATGGCCCAGGTGCTTGGGCCCTGCACCCCATGGGAGACCAGGAAAAGCACCTGGCTCCTGGCTCCTGCCATCGGATCAGCGCGGTGCGCCGGCCGCAGCGCGCCTGCCGCAGCGGCCATTGGAGGGTGAACCAATGGCAAAGGAAGACCTTTCTCTCTGTCTCTCTCTCTCACTGTCCACTCTGCCTGTCAAAAAATAAATAAAAAAAAAAAAAAAAAAAGGACAACAACCTCTCCATAGAGTTGTTCAAATTAGAGGAGCATAAGGCCCACTGGTCACCGTCAACGAGCAGGGCTGTGGGAGTTGCCTCAAGAAATGATTCTGACTTCAAAGCCTGCCCTTCTCCACCACCCTTGGCTGTATTTCCACCGACGATCTCATTGGATCCTTGCATCGCACTAGCGAGAGGTAGGCAGGCACCATTATTATCACTCATTTCCCAGATGAGAATACCTACTTGTCCAAGGTCATGTGTCAAGAAAAGGGACAGAACTGACATTCACACTCAAGTGGATGGACTTCAGATTTGTTCTTTTTCTTAAAGACTTATTTATTTATTTGAAAGACTGGTGGCCAGAACTGTGGTATAGTGGGTTAAGCCATGGCCTGCAGCATCAGCATCCCATATGGGCACTGGTTTAAGTCCTGGCTGCTCCACTTTCAATCCAGTTCTCTGCAAATGTGCCTAGGAAAGCAGCAGAAGATGGTCCAAATCCTTGGGCCCCTGCACTCATATGGAAGACCCAGATGAAGCTCCTGGCTCTTGACTTTGGCCTGGTACAGCCCTGGCTGTTGTGGTCATTTGGGGAGCGAATTAGCAGATGGAAGACTTCTCTCTGCCTCTGCCTCTCCCTCTCCGTAACTCTGAGTTTCAAATAAATAAATCTTAAAAAAAAGGCTTAATTACAGGGGAGAAAGAGAGAGAGAGAGAGAGAGAGAGAGAGAGAGAGAGAGAGAGAATCTTCCATCTGCTAGTTCACTTCCCAAATGGCTGCAATAACTAGGTGATGCTGAAGCCAGGAGCCAGGATTTTCTTCTGGGTTCCCCATGTGGGTTCAGGGGCCCAAGGACTTGGGCCATCTTTGGCTGCTTTTCCAGGCACATTAGCGGGGAGTTGGATGGGAAGTGAAGTAGCCAGGACTCTAACCAGTGCCCATATGGGATGCTAGTTTTGCAGGTCACAGCTGAACTTGCTGAACTACAGCACTGGTGCCCCTGATCTGTTTTTCTAACAGCTTTGCTCTAGTGGGTGGAAGAAAATGTTTGCATTGCTTTAATTTTGTTCATGGAAATGCATATCAGTATAGAACCAACACACACATACCCACATTCCTGGTGTGCATTTCTGCATATATCATGGTTCATGTAACAGTTGTGCAATGTGGATCAGTATTATGTTCCTTGTGCTCAAGAAGTGCTGAGGGGAACACAAGGAGTTGTCCAAACATCATAAATTCCCTCCCTTTCTTCTTATTTCTTTTCTGGTATAACAAGTGATACATGTTGGATTAGATTTAGTTAGACATTGGCTGGACTAGGAGGGCCTGATTGGGAGAGACCCATCCAGTCAGGCAATTTTGGGCAAAAACGTACGGGAAGAAAATGCACTGGCATAGTCTGATTTTACAGACCTCTTCCTCTCCCTGCTCCCTGTGCAACTTAGTGCAAGGAAACTCACATTCCCACATCTTTCCAGCCTCTTTTCTTCATTAAGCATCCTCTAAAGGAATGGATCTTAATCTTTCCATGTCTCAGATTCCTTTGCATGTCTAATAACTATCCTGATACTGCTTTGAAGAAAAAAATGCGCATTCCCCTCCTTATACTCTGCACTTTATTTTAGGGGATTCTAAGTCTTTTCTAAAATTGAGTGCTGGGGCCGGCACTGTGGCATAGTGGGTTAAACCACCACCTGAGATGCTGGCATCCCATATGGGCACTAGTTTGATTCTGGCTAGCTGCTTCACTTCATATCCAGCTCTCTGCTAATGGCCTGGGGAAGCAGTGGAAGATGGCCCAAGTGCTTGGACCCCTGCACCCATGAGGGAGACTCAGAAGAAGCTCCTGGCTCCTGGCTTTGGCTTGGCCCAGCTCTGGCTGTTGCAGTCATTTGGGGAGTGAATCAGCAGATGGAAGATTTCTCTCTGTTTTTCTCCCTTTCTCTGTAACTCAGCTTTTCAAATAAAGTAAATAAATCTTTAAAAAAAAACCCCAAAACCCCACAAAAACAAAACAAAATCAAGTTCTTTTGGAATCTCTAAGGCGTTACTTTTACTTGCAAATCTCTTTTTAAAAAATTAAGCAAATTTTTGGGTTAACATGTAATACTTACATGGTACAGTGTAGAATTTCAATGGGAATACATGGCGTAAATCAATCATACCAGGGAATTAGCCTTTCCATTTCCTTATCTATTACGTTTGAAGCCCTCCAACTCCTGTCTTTCAGTTCTTTATGCAGAATAAAACACACTATTGTGAGCTACAGTCTCCTACCCTATGCTGCAGAACACCAGAACCCACTGCCTTCATCCAACCATGCTTTGGGACCCATTATCCAAAGTTAGAAATAATCATAGTTGATCTGAACTTAAAACTCTCTGTTCCTCTATCCTGTCATACGTTCTTACTTAGTTCTTCCTCAGAGCTCTGAGACGCTCACTGCACATGTCTGTGGAAAAGAGAGGGAGTAATGCTTGTGGCTATCTTTGGGGATATCTCCCCAGTCGAGGTGAGCATTTTCTAGGCGACATCTTCTTCTCAGCCATCTTAGCAGCTTCTGTAAAAAGGAGCAAATCCCTCCATAGTAGAGCTGGTCTCCGTCATGAGACAGCCCAAGTCATGAGCTGTGGGATATGGGTCATTGACCCCATCTAGGTTGGCTACAGCATTGCTTTGGAGAGCATCCAACTCACCATAGTCCAGGGCCCGTTGAGTAACCCTTGCCTTGATGCCAGGGTAAATGGTCTGAGAGGATGAGCTGTAGAGATTCCACAGGAAGAAACAGCCCCAGATAACAGGAATGGTCTTTGCATACATCTGCAATTAACCAACATTTATGGATTTTAAAAAATTATCCTTTACTGTCTTACTGGTTGGTTCCATCTAGCTTTCTAGGCTTTCTCATTTTCATTGCCCACTTCCAGAACTTCATCCAGCCAGCCATCATCCCCCAACCCCTCTGCCTATTCATCTCTCTTTTTATCTACCTATTTATCCACCTATTCACTAACCCATTATTGAACACATAAGAATGTGTTCTAGGTGTTGGGGACATAGAGGTGACCTACACATGGCCCCTGGCCTGTTTTCCACAGACTAGGGAGTGAGTCAGTATGTGCATGCAGGCAGTTATAACATACGATACAATATGACAGCCTAGTAGTAAACTCAATGTCCGAGATATACCCTGGGAAGGACACTGGGCAGGGTGAGGGTGGGGGAATCTTGACAGTTTAAGAACAAACAAGGCTGTAGTTTAGGGAGGTGGCCTAATTGGTGCTAGGCAATCACTGATCTGCTTAGATTTCAGCTTGATGGTTGCTCTCTGCTCACAAGACAGGACTTAAGCTCTTGGCATAGCCAATCAAGATCTTTTATAACCAACTCTAGATTTCTCAACTCCTGTTGCTCTTCTCCTGTCCATGTGGTGGTAGTGTGAGCTGACCACACTGAGCTATTCACATTCCTCAATTTGCCAGTTTTCTCAAGTGTGGGGGCTTTTGTGTGTGTGTGTGTGTGTGTGTGAGAGAGAGAGAGAGAGAGAGAGGGAGAGAGAGGGGGAGAGAGAGATTCTTTCCATCTGCCATCTCACTACTCAGATGCCACCAGAGCTGCAGCTGGGAACTGGGAACTCCATTCAGGTCTCCCACGTGGGCGGCAGTGACCTAGTTACTAAGCCATCACCTGCTGCCTCCTGGGGCTTGGCATCAGAAGTGGAGCCAGGCACCCTGATATGGATGAAAGTGCTTCAGTTCTACCCTCCCACTGTAAATACACATGCCAGTACACACTCTCTGCTCTCTTCCCTGGCTCCTGCCTTTCACGCCTGTCCCTGCCTCGGACTCACATGCTCAAATTCTGTTGATGAATGTGTTCTTCAGGGCCAGCTCTGGTGCCCCTCTGTGGCAAGCTCCCTCACCATGTCATCTCACAGAGGGCTCATCACGTTTCCTCTTTATGCTTTTGCCACAGTTTTGCACCAGGCATAGGTGCCCATTTGAGCATTTAACCCACCACGTTGTCAGCTTGAGATCAGGTCTCATCGCCTCTACTGCTGATCTCTGGTTCAAGCCAATGTTACTTCACATGGACGGTTACAATAGCTTCCCTCCTGGTCTTCTTGCTGCAGTCTGTGCCTCTTTCTGTCTATTCTCCACACCACAGCAAGAGGGGCAGTTTTTAAACGACAGAGTTATTTTCGAAATGTTAGAACCCTCCAATTCTTTCCCATCTTACTCTGTATAAGAGTCAAAGCCCCTCTTTTTTCTTTTTATTTGATAGATAGAGTTGGAGTGTGCGAGAGAGAGAGACAGACAGAGAAAAAGGTCTTGCTTTTGTTGGTTCACCCCAAATGGCTGCTATGGCCGGAGCTACACCAATCCAGAGCCAGGAAGCAGGAGGCAGGAGGCAGGACCAGGAGCCAGGTGCTTCTTCCTGGTTTCCCATGCGGGTGCAGGGCCCAAACACTTGGGCCATCCTCCACTGCCCTCCCGGGCCACAGCAGAGAGCTGGCCTGGAAGAGGAGCAACCGGGATTAGAACCCAGCGCCCATATGGGATGCCGGTGCCGCAGGCGGAGGCTTAACCAAGTGAGCTGCAGGTGGAGGCTTAACCAAGTGAGCCGCAGCGCCAGCCCCCAGGAGTCGAAGCCCTTGGCACCAGCTATACGGCCCTCCTCTCTCCATGCCTCCGTGTCCTCCCAGAACTCCATCCTTAACTCACATGGCCGCAGCCTCACCAGCTGACTGAATCTTGAGCATTCCATGCGGCCTGTCTCCTGGTGTCCGTGTACTTGCTCCCTCTGCTAGGTGCAGTCTTCCTCCGATAGCCACATGTCTAGGTCTTTCTCTTTTTTCTAGTACTTCCTAAAACATCCTTTTAGCATAGCCTTTCCTAACGACACCATACAAAAGTCCCCTTCCATGTGACCTGGACTGTCCCTAGGACCATTGCCTCGATTTACTTTTTCCCAAGCACTCGCAGCAGCAGCACTGTGTACTCATCTGGTTACTAGTTTATTTGTTGCCTGTTTCCCCTGCTGGAATTTTCAGGCTTCATGGGCAAGGACTTCATTCCTTCAGCACCTTGAACGGTGACTGGTGCATAGTAGGCGTGAATGTTGCATGATTGATGGGATGAATGAATGAATACCTTCATCAAGGGGCTTTGCATCAGGCCACACGTGCCTAATGGGTCCCCCTGTTTATGGAGCAGTTCTTGACCTTAGTATATAGCACTTTACATGGAATTTATGTTGTAATTTTCGTTTTTCTTGCCAGTTCCTTCACCACAGGGGTTGTGTCTTCTTCTATAGCTCCAGAATCTAGAACAATGCCTGGCTCACAAAAGACACGGAGGCTTTTAAATAAACACACTCTCCAAGTAGAGGGGCCAGCCACATCACACTCACTGTTCTATCTCCTGAGCTTGGCATATATAAATGACTAATGTATGCTTATTGCATAAATGCCACCTCATCAATCAATATCACCCCATTTTCTTGTTGGATGAAGCACAGGGACCAGCAGCAATGCTGATAGGGATTTTTTAGAATGACTGCCAAGTGAGTAATATATTAACAAGCCTTGTTTCTAGTTGTGGGAGTTTACAATTTGGATGATCTGTCACTGTTGCATTCACACCAGCCAAAGATTCACAGGTGACAGGTACCACTGAATTAACACACAAACATGTGACCCATCAAGAAAGGGGGCCTTGTGAAGGTGGTCAAGGAGGAGTAGGTTGTGACACCCATTGTTCGGCCAGAAAGAGGGGTCAGACCAGACGGTCAGGTAAGGATTTGAAGTAGGAATAGGCTTCATGAGCAGCCTCGGTGAGGATAGAGAGGTCTTTCTAAGAGGGGGTGTGTGTGTGTTGGGGGGGCACTTGGCTAAAGCAGAGTAAAGGTCTGATTAAGGGAGGTTGTGTAGGCTTAAAAGTGAGACCCTGGGACAGGATTGGGATGATGCAGACAAAGAGGTCTTTTTTAGAATTGCTTGAAATGAACAGAGCAGTCTGATCAGGAAAGGAATACTCCAGGCAAGGCTGTTTCTAGCCTGTCTTTGGCTTTTGTGCAGAATGGGGAAAGGTCCACCTCTGGAGAGATGCCAGCCTGTTGGTGCAGAGTAGGGCCAGGGGAAAACAAGTTGGGAAAAACCCAGGAGTGGGCATTTGGTGCAGTAGTTAAGATGTTGCTTGAGATAGCAGCATCCCATGTCAGTGCTTGGTTTCAACTCTTGGTTCTGTTCCCGATTACAGCTTCTTGCTAATGTATACCTTGGGAAGCAGTGGTAATGGATCAAGAACTTGGGTCCCTAACACTCATGTGGGAGACTCACATGGAATTCCCAGCTCCTGGATTTCGCCTGGCCCAGCCTTGCTGTTATAGGTATATAGGGGAATGAACTAATGGATGGGAGTTCTCTCTGCTTTTTAAATAAATATAATAATAATAAAAAAGCCTCACATGAGTATACCAGTATATGCAACTGGGCTGGCATTTTGCTTTATGCACAGACTGCCCACCTTGCACAGGGGCCTGTACACAGATTAGTACATGCTCATGTATGGATTTCACTGCAGGGCCTTGAGGTTTGGAATTAACATCTTGACCTGTTTGTGCCTGAGTCCATCTTCAGCTCTGGAATGTCGGCTTGGTCTGCCTGCTGACATCTCTCACCTGACGTCCCAGGAGCCACCTCCAGCCACAATGAACATTCTGGTCCTTGAACACACACCATGTTTTCTGCCCAATGTCATTGCTTATGCTGCTCCCCTATCCAGGCCTGCAGAAACCCCATGCACCATGAAGGTCCATTTAAAACATGGTCTTCTTTCTAAAGCCATTTCTGACTTCCTGAACTAATCTCATTTCCTCAAGGACCCGCTATCAGAATACATGTTGATTCATGTGCATAAAAATGTTTCTCATTTTGCTTATTGTCCACCACACCTACCGGAAGGTAAGTGCATAAGGGCACAGATAGGATCTGGTTGGAGGTCTTAGATCTAGCAAACTGCCTAGGATATAGTGGGTAAATTAATAAGGGAAGAGAGAGCCTTTACCTTACACTACAGTTCTTTGCAAAGGTGATCCACAAGACATTGTACACCCTTCTGAATAGATGTTGGCTGAAGTCCTGGAGTAGGATCCAAGAAGTTTGGCACTGGGTCACGGGGAGGACAGACAGAATAGTTGGGGTTCTGAAAGTAGGGGTCAACGCAGAGTAGTGGCTCTTTACCATTAGATACAGAGGCATTTCAATACTTTAATTTTGGCATGGCCAGTTTGATCTCTATAGAGTTGTTTGAGATCTACAGAACGCTACAGAAAGGATGTGGCCAGCAGTGCTGGAGGCAGGGCTAGGGGTGGGCGACTTGAGGGCAGTCAGGGTGCAGAGAGTGCCAAGGGAAGCATAGAGGAGTGGGAGTGGAAGTGAAAGTTGAGAGGAAGAAACTCAGGTAGGAGAGGAGAGTCTCTGGCCAAGCAGTGAGTAAGCTGAGGGATGGTTCCAGGAAACATGAAGAGTCGAATTAAGGTGGCAGGAAATTTTTATATTTTGGATGTAGGATGATATTAACATCTTATACTCAGTATGGAGGCAGGTCCCTCCTGCAGGGGCTGAGTCTAGTGGCACCTGCTGTACAAGGCCTTTCTGATCCTTTTGTTGTCCTAGGGGGTGGTCAAGGGGTCCAGAAATGGATGGGACTATGGGAATGAGGGGATCATGGCTGAGGCTCAGCTTCATGGCTAGTTATAGCTGAAACAGAAGTATTTCCACATTTTAACAAATGATGAGGCCATGCTGGGTATGCAGT